CGGCGCGCCGTTGGGCATCCAGACACGGACCATGCTGCCGTCAAAGTTGCGGATCATGGGCACCGGCCTCTGGCCATCCTTGGGCGCCACGTACATGACGGGCTTGCCCTTGAACATGCGCAGCGTCTTGTCTGGGTTGTGGGAGCCGTAAGTGGAGATGTCGGGGTGTTGGCGCGTGGCGCTCGGGCCGTAGGGGCCGGAGCCGGAGCCAGCGCCGGATCCTTGTGCAGGTGGTGCGGCTGCGGTTGCGGTTGTTGCTGTGGATGCCCCAGGCGCGGGTTGGCCGAACGGGTTGGGGGCCGATGGCGCCGTGGTTGCGGCTGCTGGAGCGGCTGCTGGAGCGCCGAACGGTGAGGTGGTAGTTGGCTGGCCGAAGGGGTTGGCAGGGGCAGTGGCTGCTGCCGTCGCGCCAAAGGGGCTGCCGGCTGGTTTCTGCTGCTGGCCCCAGGTAGTTCCTGCGGCGGTCGCCGGCTGCCCAAATGGGTTCGCTGATGCCGCGGTTGCCGGTTGACCAAAGGGGGACGCCGTTGCTGGCTGGCCGAACGGATTGCTCGCCGGTTGGCTACTCGCGGTTTGGCCGAACGGGAGCGGAGCATTCTGGGGTTGCTGCGCAGGCTGGCCGAATGGCGACGCCGCAGGCGCAGGCTGTGTGGCAGCCGCAAATGCGCCCCCACCGGAGGGAGCTCCAAATGGATTTGGCTTTGCCCCGAGAGCTGCCGGCTGGCCAAACGCCGACTGGCCAAAGGAGGGACCGGCTGGCTTGGCGGGCTGCGATAATGCCGGCGCCCCAAACGGATTTGGCTTCGCTCCTAGTGTGCTAGATTGCCCGAAAGCACCGGTCGTCTGTGCTGGCTTGCCAAAAGCTGTAGCCCCGCCCAACGCAGCCGGCTGTCCAAACGCGGGCGCTGTTGGCTGTGCAGGCTGGCCAAAGGCGGGCGCGCCAAACGGACTTGGTTTCTGGCCCAATGCGGCAGTCTGTCCAAAAGAGCTTGGGGTGGTTTGGGGGGCAGCCGGTGCCCCAAACGGATTTGAGGGTGGAGCGGCAGTTTGAAAAGCGTTTGCTCGGTTCCCAAAAGCACCTCCAGGGCCGGCGCCTCCTGTCTGCTCTTTACAGCGGTCTATCCGGTTTGGGTGTTTGTTTCCGGCCTCCACAATGTATTGTATCGCCATCGGTATGTTGTTGACGGTGTGCTGAATCTGCTCTTGAGCTCTTTGATGTAACGCTTGGATATCGTTTAGCTACAGAGGGTTAGCGATTCGTTGCCAATGCGGCCTCTTGTCAAGCAACTCACAGCACCCTGGGGGTTCCCAGCCGTGACTCCTGCCATGAAGTGTAGCCGAATCTCCTCGAAGCACTGTTCGCGGGGGTAGCCGCCCCAAAGCTGTTCTGGCGCATCCCTCCCAGGGCCGTAGCACGATAAAATCCATGTTGGGAGCTCCGACGTCAGGTCGCGTTGGATGACCTCTACCGTCAGGCCGGGGTAGTGGGGGGTATCCGTAGCTGCTCGTCCGTTAACAAGGTGTGCCGGAGTGTGGAGAAGGCATCACGCACCCGCACCTCGGCCGGCCATCGATTGACTTGGTTGCTCGGAGAGGGCGCCAAAGCGGTTGTAGTTTTGTTGCTGCCCTCCCTTGGGAGGGTGCTCGAATTTGCAGGCATCTAGAGAAGGCGGGAGGCAACGGTCAGCCAGGCATGTCGTTGGGCATGGGTAATGGCGCCGCGACGCGAGTCATCACTGTCATGGCGGCGTATGATAGGTCTATGGCAGTGACGAGGTCAGAAGTTCCGATTGGCGTCGACGAGAGGACTGAAAGGGGAGGAGGAAGGATAAGGGGGGGAAAAAAGCAACCTTCGTACTTCCGTAACGGCAATTGCCCTGCTGGTAGAACCGGCAGACCGTCATCTTGCCTCTTCAATGCGTTGTTGTTGTTTTTTTCTCTTGGGGCGCCTTGGAGGTTGACTGGATCATGGTGTTGTCCAAGGTGTCGGCGATGGCCAACGGAAACGCGAGGTCGACCTTCGTGTTCAGCCTTCCAGCCTCGCAGAGGTGCTCCACTTTTTGATCCACTCTTTGTTGGGCTCAGCAGGCATGCAAGGCCCACAGCTGTCGGGTGGCTTTTATTCGAGTCTTCTTGGCATTCAACAACGACCGAAAGGGATGCCGCGGCATGCCGAGCTTGCAACTCGTTGACGTCCATCTCGGCTCTGGAGCACATGACGCACTGCACCTCTTTCAGAAGAGTTGAAGGTAATTTATGCGACGACAAGTGTCTCCCGTTTCGCTTGCTCTGCTGCCACTTCTTGTCCTCTGTTGACATTCTCATGCCGAAGGTCGTCATGGTCGATACGCAGCCGGGTACAGTGGTCTTGGACAGCAGCCGTCCAAAGCTCCAGTTTATGCCGACTCGGTCGTGAGCCGCTCATCCGAGCCGAATCCCTTTTCCGCGCGAGTTCCGCACAATGCCTCTGCTATGGAGCATTACGTAATGTCATTCAGTGGAGAATACGGCCGGATGAAGACCAAATGCAGAAGGGAAGCTGTCGACAACTCGACATCATGTGGTGCACTATCCTCCGATAAGCTGCGATAAGACCTATTCTCCTAGCAATGCCGCGGAAAGCCGAGCTGTCCCGGCGAACGCTCACACGGACGAGCAGGAAGCGTCCAAGATCAGAACCATTGCCCAATAAGGTGACTTGTGATGGCGCATTACGGACTCGGGGTCCACGAGGGTAAAGCCGTTCATCTAAGGTAGGAAGGAGTTGGTATCCGGCTGTTGGGTCGTTGCGTAATCGATAAAAAGGACCGGGGCCTCTCCTCAACCCCAAGTCGTTCACATCACCGTGATTCGAGTTACCGTCACCAGGTCTCGCCATTAACCAACCAACTTGACAATCATGGCCTTCGATGCCACACATCTCCAGCTTTGGCTGGGGTTGTTAGTGATTGCCGGCTTGCTCTATGTCAGTGCCGACGCCAAGGCTTAGCCAGTCGAGCCTTCAACAGTCAACACTGACAACTATCGCAGACAACATGTCTCGTCGTCTACAGACTCTTCTTCCACCCGCTGGCCAAGTACCCGGGGCCATTCCTCGCCAGGCTCACGGATGCCTACATGCTCTACCACGCCTGGAAGGGCGATCGCCATCTCGAGTTCTGGCGCATGCACGAGAAATATGGCAGGTTTGTCCGGTTTGGGCCCAACTCGCTCTCGGTCAACTCCAACACGGCCCTGAAAGACATCTACGGCTTCCGCGCCAACGTCCGCAAGGCCGAGTTCTACGACGCCTTTGTGCACCCGGCCCCGAACACGCACAACACGCGGGACAAGGACATGCACGCCCGCAAGCGCCGCGTCCTCTCGCACGCCTTCTCCGACGCCGCCATCAAGGGGGTCGAGCGCTACATCCTGGCCAACATCCGGACCTTTTGTGAAGCCATCGGGGACTACGGGCGCGTGATTGACGAGAACAAGGGATGGAGCTCGCCCAAGAACATGTCGGACTGGTGCAATTGGCTCGCCATGGACATCCTGGGCGACCTCTGCTTCGGCAAGGCCTTCCACATGCTCGACCGTCCGGACAACCGATACGCCGTCGACCTCGTCGGCGTCGCCGCGCAGCGACATCTCCTCGTAAGCAAACCACCCCACAATCGCTCTCACTCACCAGCTCTTAACACCCCTGCCAGTGCGGCACCATGCCCATCGTCAACAAGCTCAGCCTGGACAAGATCCTCTTCCACAAAATCTCGGCCGGCCGCGCCAAGTACATGGCCTACAGCCGCGCGCAGCTGGCGGAGCGCACCGCCCTCGGCGACGAGACGGACCGGCGCGACTTCTTCTACCACCTCCTCAAGGCGCGCGACCCGGAGACGGGCCAGGGCTTTTCGACCCCGGAGCTCTGGGGCGAGTCCAACCTGCTCATCATCGCGGGCTCCGACACGACGTCGACCGCCATGGCCGCCACCCTCTTCTACCTGGTCCGGCACCCGGACGCCCTGCGCCGGGCGACGGCCGAGGTCCGCGCCCGGTTCGCCTCACTCGAGGACGTGCACAACGGCGCCGCGCTCAGCGCGTGCGCCTACCTGCGCGCCTGCGTCGACGAGGCCATGCGCCTGTCCCCCTCGGTCGGCGGCCTCCTGCCGCGCGAGGTGCTGCCCGGCGGCATGGCCGTCGACGGCGAGCGCGTGCCCGAGGGGACCATCGTCGGCACGCCGCACTACGCCATCCACCATAACCCGGCCTACTACCCGGATCCGTTTGCGTACCGGCCCGAGAGGTGGCTCGTCGGCGGCGGCGAGAAGGCTGTGGGCGTGGACGAGGCGAGCGTGGCGCTGGCGCAGAGCGCCTTCTGTCCCTTCTCGGTTGGCCCGCGCGGGTGCATCGGGAAGGGGCTGGCGTATGTCGAGATGAGCATCACGCTGGCGAGGGTGCTGTTCCTGTACGACGTGCGCCGGGCCGTCGGCGTCCGCGATCCCGGAGAGGGGAGGCCGGGCGCCGAGTGGGGGCGGGATAGGGTGGGCGAGTTTCAGCTGGTGGATACATTTACGAGTCTGAAGAACGGGCCGATGATCGAGTTTAGGAGGAGAGAGTTGTGAGGCGGGGTGTGCGTGGGGATTTTGGGGCGGGGGGAAACTGAATGGTTTGGAGGAAGACCCGAGAACAACGGAGTGTGCCTCGCAGATCAAACCGCGGCGGCTTTTGTTTAGCAAACATCCAGAATAAAGAACAAATTTGACTTTACCATTGCGTATTGGCGCTGGCGGTTGACACAACGGTACCTTATGGCAGGTCCCGGGCTGTTGGCAGCCATTGTGAGAGCCCGAGACTTCAGGGTCTCTATGAGAGTCTGCGGTTTGTTAACGACACGAGGAGAGAGGAGGCGCCGGGGTTGGTGGTTCGATGTTCCGTGAAAGTAAAAAAGAAATGCTACAAACGGGACAGGATTGTAGAAAACGGCAAAAGGAGAATGGATCATTTTATGCTCCGTTTATTTCTGCCGAAACACGGGATTGAACCGTGGACCTTGTCATTTCGCAGAAGGAAAGTACGAGTGACACGCTCTACCACTGAGCTATTCCGGCTGATGCTAAATTGCACTTATTTTAGCCCTCTATATTTTAATATTTTTTATTTTTGCCAGGAAGCTTTGTGGCTACTGTCCAGCAGGTCGGAACTCCTTAGGTTGAAGAAAGTGAGCGTAGGGAATCTGCAGAGAGCGGGCTGTGCTGAGGGTGATAGAGGTTGCCGGAGGTGAAGAAGGTGGGGCTGAGGATAGAAGTTAGATACTGCACAGTATGTGGTCACCTTACGTGGGACCAAGGGGTTGGAAGACAGCGGATGATACGATTTACATTCACTGTTTCTCTGTTTCGGCAGTTTAGCCACGAATAGCTCAGACTGGCTCTTTGAAATGGAGGATACGCTAATATATCCCGACTTGAACAGTTGAAGATAGTGCTTGGTTTACCGCTTGAGGAAGTCGAGCCCCTCCGTTCTAAACGCTTTTGCCCTCCAAGCTGCACATCTAGGTCCTGCCCTCGAAGCGGTGTGTTTCAAAAAGTCGCTCGCATTAATGAGCCATTCGTTCACAACAATGGAAAAGTCAGTGTAGATACTAACGGCTTGTTCGCGTGAGCCGGTGTACCTTGGCCCGCCCCGGCTGCCGTTCAAGTCACGGCGGCTGCCTTCTCGTCGGCAGAAACCATTGTTGCGACTCCGAGTCCACAAACCTCCATCGGCATCAGGAACTGAAACCAGAGCCCATTTGGTGGGACAATGAAATAGTTACCCGATAACACATTACAATTCCCACACATCTCACTTGCTCCTGATCATTCCCCCGCCTAAAGCCAACATCGTACAGTCATCATCGACCATTACCACCACGACATGAACCAATCGTCCACTCCTACACAGTAGGCTCCCCCTCCTACCCCAACCCCCTGACTCCCATCGCCCCCCCTTATCAGAACCGGTAATACCTCGGCTCATCAAAAACATGATACCTATGCCCGCGGACGCCCTGCCCGCGAAACATCGCCGGGAACCGCCACCCCTCGGGCACCTCGTGCTCAGGCACGCGGCGGTCGCGCAGCTCCTTGGGCGCGGTCCAGGCTGCGACGGCGTCCTCGCCCCCCTCGCCCCCCTCGGCCGGGGCCGGCACGACAAACTTGGCGACCTGCAACTCCGTGTCGGTGATGGTGCTGCGGCTGACGCGGGCGTAGCCCGTGCGGCGCAGGCCCTTGAAGAGTATGTACTCGCACCACCTGTCCCAGTCGGACTCGTCGACGTCGTGCATGCCGCTGGAGGAGGACACGTACGTGTTGTAGTTGCCCTGCAGCGGCTTGGTGACGAGGTAGGACAGCAGGATTGACGGGCGCGGCGTCGAGCCCATCAGCTCGGCCAGGTACTCGGACTGGAGGCGGCGGTCTTCGGGGTCCTCCTCCTGGCCTGAGTGGAAGACGAAGACGTCGACGGCGGTGCCGTAGACGTCGAGGGTGGCGTGGATGGCCGGGGCCAGCTCGCCGACGGGGCTGGGCAGCAGGTGGTGGGTCGAGTTGAGGATGGGGAACTTGGAGAGCAGCGCGGCGCCCCACGTGTGCTTGTTGGGGCCCGGGCCGTAGTCGACGTACATGCCGAGGTCCTCGGCCAGGAACTGGGTCGTGTCGCGGTTGCCCATGATGATGCGCTGCAGGTCCGACTCGAGCAGACCGACGACGTCGAGCTCCATCTCCTTGATCAGGTCGCGCATGCGGTACTCGGACGACCACAGGCGGTTGTCGATCGAGAAGTGGATGGTCCAGATGCCCGCCGTCAGGAGCCGGTCTTCAGCGTGGTGCGGCTTGTAGTCGTTGGTGGGGAAGCGGAGGAAGTTGGCGCAGAGGAAGAGGATGTTGAGGACGCCGAGCGTGCCGAGGTGGTATTTGCGGTGGTGGTTGTTGGCCGCACGGCGACGGTCAGCCGTCTTGCGGCCGGACTTGGCCTGCTGCGAGATGAGGCCGAAGACACCGGCGCCGATCAGTAGCATCGTGGTGATCATGATCCAGTCGGTGTGCTCGCGGACAAGCGGGCCGCCGGGCACAAAGGCGTAGGCCACCACCCAGACATGGAAGAGCACCAGGAAGTTGTAGATGAAGAAGCCAAGTCCAAAGGTGACGGCAGGGTTCTTTTTAGAAGCGCTGCTGATCAGAGGAACCGAGATAGCCATCAAGTAGGCGGCAAGGGTCAGGGCCCCGAAGTAGCCCACCCATCTGTGATAGAGGGTGAGCAGAGCAGCACCCAGGCAGCCCGCACCGTAGACCGTCCACGTAGTGACAAGGGCGGGCCGAGAGATGCCAGCCACGACGCCAATTGTCATGGCAGCAATGGTGTACCAAGCGTGGACGTTGGAAACAGGGCCCCTGATCGGATAGCCATCCCAGACCCAGAGTACCATTGTGCTCGTATCCGAGAGCAGCGAATGCAGAGCAAAGAACAGGCCGCCAATGCCAAAGGCCGAGAGCAGAGCCGACCCACTCTTGTCCTCCACAGGGTTACCGCCCTGCAGAGACGCGCGGCGGGTGAACCGTAAGGCGGCAAGAACGGCCAGGACCAACCCGGTGCCGTTCCAGCCCCCGTTTGCGGCGTGCATGATGGGCCAGATGGGGTTGTTGGTGTACCAGGCAAACTTGGCGACGGACGACATGAGAAGACCAATTATCCAAGCCAGAATGCGGGCCTCAAGTCTCGCGGGCTGCACCGAGTCGGAGTACAGGGTGGCGGCCCAGCCAAGGCAGGACATGCCGACACCAAAGCCGACGATGAAGAGTCGATAGACGGGCTCCTCGACCAAGTACGCAAGCAAGCCGGCGAGCGAGAGAAGATGGGCGACGCGCTGGTTTTTGACGATCAGGAACCGCAGCGGTCTGATGGCGAGAAGAGCTGGGGTCACGGTGGACATGACGAATGCCTCGTAGCCCGAGATGCCCATGTGCCAAAGGGGAAAGTCTATCAAACGATCAGGCTGAAACATACCACCAAGTAGCGGGCTCACTTACACCAGACAACAACGCCAAGGCTGGTCAAAACGGACCAGAACACAAACTAAACCGTGTGTCAGACGGACCCTCCCCACCGCAAGGGAAACACTTACGCCGTGGTAGACATCTGCCGCAATGTCGAGGGCCTCGCCCCAGCGGAACCCGGCAGAAAAGACGCCAGCGGTGGCCTTCTCCTTCCTGCCCAACTCATCAGTCACACTTCGCCGGACGATTTACGAGGGGGCATTGGGGGGGGGGCCTTACTCCTTCTCAAGCACAGCAGTGGGCACCGAGGACGTGTTGGCACTACCGAGACGTGTTTTAGAACGTGTCCTCATGATATCATTGCAGACGTTTGTTGTGTATGTACACGCCCCCAACACAAGCACGTGCCAGGCAGGGGCTACAGCGGGAGCCATTGGACGTACCCCTTGCTCGCTCCCTTGACGTCCCTGACAACCACCTCGAACGTGTCAAAGTCCAGAGCCGTTACCGCATCGAAGGCGACGTCGAGGAGGATCAGAGCCCATTCGAAAAATGCGTAGATGGTGTAAGCTGGGGTATAACGTTAGTCCTTTGCACACAACTTCTGTTCTCTGGCCACAGCTACTGACCTCCTGCTACACGGTGAACCTTGTGGTGAATGAAGAAGTAAACCAAGGGCACCAGAGTGCCGAAAAAGGCGCTGGCCAGGTATTTCCTGTACTTGATGGCCTTGGCATTCGGCGGGCTGAGCGCAATGCATCCGGTCGTCCAGGGGATTGTGAAGACGATGTACGAGATCATCAAGATGTCGTGCCAGTCGTGGTCGTCGGTCGACGTGATGTAGGTCCATCCTCCGCATGTCAGGGTCCGGACGAGGCCGGAGATGGCGACGGCTTTCGGCAGGGTGCGGCCGGGCTTCGCGGTGAGGAGGTAGAACAGTCCGACGAGCGCAAATCTCGGCCCTGGGGGAGAATGGTCAGCAGGGTCTCTCGGAGCGGACACGGGGCGGCGCGGGATGTGGGCATACCGGAAGTGATGGCGATGAAGATCATAAAGATGGACCGCTCGGGATAGCGGTCGCCAATGGTGGCCGAGACGGAGGGGAACCACTCGTCCGGGTAGCCGTACCACTCATTCTGGACAATCTTCTTGTAGTGCAGGGCGGAGCCGACGAATAGGGCGCTGAGGAAAGCGACTACGACGGCGTCAACATCTCGGAAGAAGTGGGTTGGATCGGGTCTTGCTAGGGCCACCCACGGTACGCAACGGCAGTGTGCGACCAGCTCACCCACTGCCCGCCGAACGAGATGACGACGCCGGCATCCTTGTCTTTGTAGCGTGACGCGGCCATGGCGGAGCAACTCGGTAGTTATCGAAATTCGATCAAGGATTCCCGAGGAACGGGCCGATGTCGCGGAGAATCAGAAGCGCTTAAACATGTCACGCTCCCCTCCAGAACAAAGGGAAGAATGAGCCTGAGATGAACGAGCGTTCGAGAGAAAAAAAGCTGTTGTTCCGCCCCATAGAGAGCGCGCAATTTGCGGATGCCTCGGCGCGCGATTCTCGAGGGTTTGGCACTCCTTACCCCTGGCCGACGCATCCGGGTCCGGGAGCAAGGGTTGGCGTTGACTTCGCGACCGAAAAGATCCCTGTCGATGAAGTGAGCGGTGAATAGCGGCATTATGGCATGCCCCACTAAAAAGTCCAGTGCCGACTCGACAACCCAGAACTTGAAGCTAAACAAGCACCCGACTTGAGCGAAGTTGGGAGCAGCAAAGCCTTGCTTCCAATTCAACCAAACAACAAACCGGTCACTGCCAGCACAGTCGACGGCAGCCATGGCTGGCGTCTCAGACAAAGCCCGCTTCTACCTGGAGCGCGCAGCACCCGAGCTGCGTGAGTTTGAAGAGAAAGAGATCTTTTCCAAAGTCGGTCCCCTCCCCCCC